TGAGGCCGTTGAGATAATAGAAATAGCTGCTAGCATTTCTTACATATTTGCTTTCAGTGTGCTGTGTAAGTTTCCTGAATTATCTTTTTAAAATCTCACAACAAAAATTAGGAGCTCTGTACTCCTGATGTTGGTCCTGCCTTGTCACACATTAATACTGCCACTCTACTCTCTTTTTGTAGCATTTGGCTATTAACAATTTGCACATCCGTTTATTTTCAACTCCTCTTTTACCTTCTTTTTAAAGAAAATAAGGTAAAATAGACTTCCCTTGTGCCCTATTTCAGTAGGCTCCCTTCTCACCAATGTTCCAACTGCTATTTGCAGAGAATCATTCTGCCTGTCCCAGAACTTTATGTGAAGTTTCATGCAGTTTGTAGTCTTTTGTATCTGGCTTCTTTTATTATAAATTAATAATTTTTTTGAGATTCATCCAATTTGTGTGTACCAGTGATTCATTTCCTTTTATTGCTGAGTTTGGATAACCAGATTTTATTTAATGGTTCTCATGGTGATGGGTTGTCTCCAGTGTTAGGTCTTTATGGATAAAAGTTACAGTGAATATTCTTTGTAAGTCTCTTTGTGGACTTACAAGTATTCGACTTGTACTCACTGATCTTGGATATATACCTTGAAGTGCAATTGTTGGTCGTAGCACAGGCTGATTAGGAACTCCGAGTAGTTTTCCAGAGTGTACATTCCATCAATTATAAACATGAATGTTCCAGTTGTTCTGTATCCTAGTCAGCACTTAATATTACCCATCTTTTTTATTTTAGCCAAACTCATTGTTGTTTTAGTTGGCTTTCCCTAATAAATAATGATATTAAGTACCTTTTCTTGTATTTTCAGATATATTCAGGTAGTTTCTTTCTTGAAGTGCTTGTTTAACCCCAGCTCATTTTTATATTGGATTAGTCATCTTTCTATTTGTGATTTTTAAAAGGCTCTATATGTCCTTTGTCACACATACATATTTTTTCAGTTCGTGGCTGTTTTGTTTTTATAATATCTTTTGAGCAGAACTGTTTAGTTTTGATGAGATCCACTGTATCAAACTTTTAAAATGTTTAATGCTTTTCATATGTTGTCAGAATCTTTACCTGCTTCAATGTCTCGAATATTTTTCCTGGAAGTTTTGTAATGTTAACGTTTATGTTTAGGTCTACGATGTCTATCTTTATGCTAATATCTCGTGTTATTTACGACAGATTTATCCTTCCAATGTTGTTCTTTTTAAATTGTTTTGGCTGTTTTAGGTCCTTTCCATTTATATATAAATTTTAGCCTGTGAATTTTTACCAAGGAAAGGCCTTTTAGAAGTTCATCAATTTGGAGAAAATTACCAATATTGTTCATCCTGTTTATTTGTGTAAGCCATCTTTAATTTCTTTCAGCAATATTTTGTAGTTTCCAGTAGAGATTTTCCATATCTTTTGTTAAATTTATTCCTAGGTTTTTTTATGGTATTATAATTCTTCTGTGTCTATTATATAGAAATATAATTGATTTTTGTTACTGGCTTTGCTGCCTCAATAAATTTACTTATTCCATTAGCTTGTCAACCTGCTTAGATTTTTAAATATGTAGTCATGTCTTTTGTTAATAAAGACAGTTTTACTTTTGCTTTTTTGGTATATTTTTCTTGCCAGATCTCATGGACTAGAACCTCTGGTATAATCTTGAAATAAGTGGTGAAAGGGGACGCCTTTGCCTTATTCCTGATCTTGTGGAGAAAGCATTCTATATCCGTACCATTTTGCAGATGCCCTTTACACAACTGATTTTCTTTCCATTCTTAGTTTACTGAGAATTTTTATCATGAAAGTATATTGAGTTTTCTCAAGTGCTTTTTCTTCATCTCTTGAAAAAAATACCACTTCTGTGTCATGTATTTCTAAAATGTATTTCTAGTTTTTATTTGCCAATAGTTCGTTTGGATTTTTATGTCTTTGTTCATAAAGGCTATTGGTGTGTAATATTTTTCTTACAATATCTTGGTCACCTTTGATATTATGGTTATACTGGCTTCATTAAACAAAATAAGAAATGCTTTCAGCCTCTATTTTATGAAAATGTTTGTGTTTGTTGTAATTTCTTCCTTACATGCCTGGTATAGAATCACCAATGAAATCATCTGGGCCTGAAGTATTCAATTGTGCAAACCCTTGCCTATAATGGATTCAATTAATTTAATAAATATAGAACTAGTTGTGCCAGTTTTTGAAGGTTGTGTTTTTCAGGAGATTAGCAATTTCCTCTATGTTGTCAAGACTTGATGACATAAAACTATAATGTCCTTTTACTATCCTTTTAATATTTAGGATCTATAGGAATGTTTCCTTTTCCGTTTCTGTTCTTGGCAATACACAAGGGTTTTTTTCTTTATTTCTTCATCAGTCTTGCCTGGGAGCTTATCATTTTTGTTGTTATTCCTTTTAAATTTTTTAAAAATTTTAGATTTTGTTACACTTTTTAAAAATTATACTTTAAGTTCTGGGATACATGTGCAGAACATGCAGGTTCGTTACATAGGTGTAGGGTCTTGCTCTGTTGCCCTGGTTAGAGTGCAGTGGTTCAGTCATAGCACACTGTAGCCTCGATCTCCTGGGCTAAGGTAATTCTATCACCTTAGCCTCCAAATAGCTGGGACCACAAGTGTGCGCCACCATGCTTGGCTAATCATTATTATCATTATTATTATTTTATTTTATTACCAAAAAACCTACTTTTGGCATTGGTGGTTTTCTCTAATATTTACCTTTTTTAAAAAAAAACTGATTTCTTTATCATTTCCTTTTAATTATCTATTTTGGTTTGTGTTTATAGATAGTAGAGAAAGAGAGAAAGGCGAGAGGAAACTCAGAATTCATTGCCTGTCACTGTTATCCTCAGTAGTTCATCTTCTTTGATCTGATTTATTTGATTTTAGGTTAGAGCCTTTTCTCATTACGTAGGTGAAGTACCCTTTGAACCCTTGCATATCCAGAAATATCTTTCTTTGACTCTGTTGAGAGAATGACACACTGGCCAAATACAGGATTCTTGGGTTCTGTTCTTTCATTCCTGTAGATTTTAGTCCAGTGATTTCAGGTCACAGTGTTGCATGTCAGAAATCAGACCAGTTCTTTCTTCTTTGTAAGTAAATTATTCTTTTGATCTAGAAGTTTGAAAGTCAGTCTCCCACTGCCATTTCCTCTCTTATTTAGAATAATGTATTAGAAACTAGAAACTTTAACAGTAGTCGACTAGATGTGTAGGCTGTCTTACCAGTCTAGCCTGGCACTCTGCAAGCCTATTTGAAGTTGCAAACTTGTGTCTTTCTTCAGATCCAGTTAAATTTTCTTCTACTGCTTGTGTAATTAATACCTTTTCTCTAGCTGCTTATATTTCTTTACTTGCATTTGTATTTTTTGCATGTTAAGGCTCCTGGGTTCATCTTCTAGTATTGTCCTTCATAATTTCCATCTCTTTACATTTTTATTCTATATTTTGAAGTAGTTCTAGCACTTCAGATCAGTCTTAACAGTGACCAGTATCCTTCTGTTAATCTACTCAGTTGTTAGCTTTGGAAATCATATATTTCACCTCTAGAAATCTCATTTTGGTAGTGTACTTTAATCTCCATAAGAGTTTTCTTTATTTTTCTGTTCAAGTTGTTGCTTGTCTCTTCAGCTAAATTTCACTTCTTGATGGGTGTTCCTATGCATAGCAGCTGACTCCCTTAGTGTGTGTTTATTTTTCACGGTCAGCTTGTAGCAGCTCAGGCCTGGTATTGGAGAGAAGCCTGTCCCTCTCAGGCCAGTGATACAGAAGCAGAACGGCCACTAGGCCCCTGCAGAGTAACCAGGCCCACAGGCTCTCCATACCTCAAACTTCCCACATCCTCCATGCTTGGGTCTCTGCCTCCCCTCTCTTCCGCTTCTGACCTCTTGGTGCTGTTGAGACCAGTCACACTCATGTAGGGCTGATGCTAGCCTCCTTACCCTCTTCTGTTCCCACTCCCATCAGGAGCCCACAGTCCATGTGGCTGAACTGTGCCAAGGACAACACTTTCTAATAAGGGTCTTCCTTGCTTCCTTTTGCCCACAACAGCGAGTCCTGCATCTGGCCTCTGTGGAGTTGCCTTGGAGTCTAAGGCCTGACCAGCACGTGGCCACTCCCAGGCCACACAGGCAGAGCTGTAACTAGAAGGAGAAGCCAAGGGAGCTGCACTGAGGTTGCTAGAGTGTCAGAACAGGCTTATTTTCTATTGGTAACGCTTTTCAAATGAATTAGTTAATATGAAGAAACATAATTTTAAATGATTCCTTTTTAATTGTAGTTTACTGGCTATTACAGTCTTGTGTTTATAATGCCTCTTGCTCTGCTTATCGAAATGAGAGGTTAGTATTTTCAAAAACAACTGATATGGTTAGGCTTTCTGTCCCCACCCAAATCTCATCTTAATTTGTAATCTCCATAATCCCGTGTGTCAAGGGAGAGACAAAGTGGAGGTAATTGAATCATAGGGGCGGTTTCCCCCATGTTGTTCTCATGAGAGTGAGTGAGTTCTCACAAGATCTAATGGTTTTATAAGGGGCTCTCCCCCTTTCACTGGGCGCTTCCTTCTGGCCAGCTTGTGAAGAAGATGCCTTGCTTCCCCTTTGCCTTCCACCAAGATTGTAAGTTGTTTGAGGCCTCCCCAGCCATGCATAACTGTGAGTCAATTAAACCTCTTTCCTTTTATAAATTACCTAATCTCAGGCAGTTCTTTATAGCAGTATGAAAACAGACTAATGCAGTAACCTATAGTCCATGTGTGGGGTTATTTTTTTCTCCTGCAAAATAGCTCTGTTAAAAGAGATCTTTATTACTGAAAATACATGAAATAAAAATCATGAGTTTTTGTAGGAAAATTAATAAGTGCTTTTAATGTAGTCTGAAGTGTCATTAACATTATTTTACTTTTTCCATCACCCTCAAATAGCCAACTCATACTCTTTATTATGTGTTCATAGGTCAGCATGGCGTCATTGAAAGAACTAGATCAAAGACTCTTTGAAAATTACATCGAGTTGAAAGCAGATCCCATCGTTGGCTCCTTAGAACCTGGAATTTATGCAGGCTATTTTGATTGGAAAGACTGCCTGCCTCCAACAGGTAAGTAAATAAAGTTTCTTGAGTAATAGATGTGGATATGCTTTTATCAATTGATACATGCTTGAATTCTTTTCGTTTTATTCTCGTTTTTCTCATATCTACTGAGAGTGAGAGATTAATTTGATTTCAGCTTATTTGCTTAAATCCATTTTTTGGTTAGTTTGGAAATTAGGACACTATTTATTATTAGTAGCTTAAAGCTGTTTTTAAGTTCTAGAGAATAATTAAATATACCTTATAATAATTGATCATTTTAGTAATGCATGCCTGCTTCCTATGATCTTTTTGTATAGATATAATAGAGTGATTGTAAGTGACAGTTTCATGCAATGACCTTGTGAACATCATCAAAAAATGTGTTAAAGAAATCTGGTCACATCTATGTAAGACCTAATGCTGTAAAGGTGAAGGAGAGAAGAAAAATGTGTAGGAGTGAGATTATTATAGTAATTTAGCAATGAAAATTGAGCCACAGAAGGATGAATGATACAGTTCAAGTATTATCTTTGTGATATCAAATGAAAGTCACTTGAATCACTTCAAAATGTATATTTTTTAAATAACTATTGCTTTCTGAATCAAATAAACTTTTGATTGATCAAATAGTTGTTTCTTTGTATAAAATAGCGTGGAATACCTCAAACCAAGCTGCCCATTGGCACTTTTGTAGAGAAGTGGTTTATGTAGAAGCGGTCATGCTCATATCAGACATGGGTTCTTCGTGGGTATATATATGTAGATAAACCAGTGAGTTGTTAACAGGTTTGGGTTTATCTTCATTGTTTTGACTAATCACTTTAATCTCCTTTTGTTTTTATTGTGTAGCGCTTATACTAAACATGATAAAATTGTTTATTGTTTACACACCTTTGGTTTTTATTGTATAGTGTGCACATATAGTGATGCCAAAAGTCTAAACTAAAAACCGGAATCATTCAATTAACCACAGTTTCTTAATGTGACCGCAGTTACTGAATTGTCTGAACTCACAGTCATGGCAGTCATGCAAGCCTTTATTCCTCCTGTGCTTTTCTGTACACACACTTTACTGTGCCCAAGCCAGATTCAGTTCATACCCTCACAGTACATCTTTGTAAAGTCTAAGTTAGACTCTGTCAGTATCTTGCTTAAAATTCTTAAAATATCTTTCCATGATAGTAAAACCTGGGAAGATGTGCTGTGCCAGCCTCTTCCCTGGCACCCTGCCCACTGCTCCAGTGCACTACCCCACAGCCTCTCCAGCTAGACTCAACCTCTGCCTTTTTGAAAAGCTCATCTTTCTAAAATATAAATTGGATCCTGTCAGTCCCCTGCTGAAAACCCTTCAGAGAGGCTCATTCTCCTGGTGGCTGACCCCAGACTTCTCAGACAAGGTAGCATCCCCACAGGTACCAAATTCCCTGGAAGCTTAAGTTCCTGGTGTGAAATGGTGTCATATTAGCACGTAACCTACACACATTCTCCTGTATGCTTTAAATCATCTCTAGATTACTTGTAACTACCAATACAATGTCAGCGCTTTGCGAATAGTTGTTATACTATATTGTTTAGGGAATAAGAACAAGGAAAAAAAGTTCACGCATGTTCACTACAGATGCAACCATCTGTTTTTTCCCCCAGAATATTTTCCATCCATGGTTGGTTGAATCTACAGATGCGGAAGTCACCACTGTGGAGGCCACAGATGCGTTTGCTCTGAGTTACCTCCCTCTCCATGGGCTCCCCCAGACAGTAGACAGGCTGGGTGCTTCATGCACTGTGAACCCTGTGCCCAATCCCTCTCACCTCTGCCCCTTCCCCTAACCTCTCAGGCCCTATGTCCTCTGGGAGCCCACCCGGCCCATCCCTGCATGTCTCCGGGTCATGCTGGCCTTCCTCCATCTGTGGAGCTCCTAGATCAGTTTACAACTCTCTGTGCCCGCAGAAAATGTTTTGTCATTGTCTACCTCCTTACTGGACAGCCTCAGCATAGGGACTGGCATTTGGGTGTGTGGTTCTGAGTTTTTAGCACAGTGCAGTTTCTGACACCCAACTGATGGGTGTATTTTTGTGGAGTCAATGAAGATTGGCAGTTTTCTATAATAATATACCATCTTTCTAAATGTGCCTGTTGCTCCGTCTCTTCCAAGTGTTTGTTATATGCTTTTGCCTGATTTTTCTCAACATTTTTTCGGTAGGAAAGTACATCATACAGTGTTCTAGTTTCTACTGTTCTTCTGATTCACTTTTAAATAAATAATACACAGTGGATGTTCGTATTTGTTGAAATGAATTAAAATGAGTTAGAGTGCTCATTTTCTTGTCATTTGTGAATTCTCATATGGTAGTTGTATACACTTTCTAAATTTGAGCAATTGCATTTTAATTAAAATGCAATTGTCAAGTATATCTAACACATCATCAATACTATTTAACTATTTAAACTCTTACCGAACAATATATTACTTTGCATCACCATGCAAGAAGTAATACATTGTTCAGTAATAGTTCAAATGAATGTTGTTAAAGTTCATGTCTTCCCCTGTGATTAGCGTGTAAGTACATTAACTGTTCACACATCTACTACATCAGCAATTCTGTTTAACGGTTTATTACTGTACAATGTATTACTTTGCATCACTATGCAAAAAGTAATACGTTGTTCAGGAATAGTTTAAATGAATTTTGTTAAAGTTCATATCTTTTCCTGTGATTAGCATCTAAGTACATTAACTGTTCACACTGAAATCATTCTTATCATACTTGGTTATGTTCAAGTTTATTAAATCATTTGTGATGTTTCTTTGAGATTAGAAAAAATCGTGACACAGCCTGATTTTCCTACACTTCAGGGATTACTATAACAATTTAGAATGGGTGACCAAGCTTCAGTCTCCACAAACAGTGGTTATTCTCTGTTGTCACTGAAATCCCTGATTGTTACTGAGAAACAGGATTTACTTGCCCCTGATGCAGAGGATGACTTCTCTTCACCAGTCCTCAGACCTGATGCCTCCCTTAATAAATGCTGAGATGTCTTTAGTGTGCGCTGAAAACTGGCAAGGACAGTTGAGAATGTCTGTCAGGTAGAAGGCAGGCCTTTCCCATCCACCTGCTCCAAGGTATCTTCGGAAAGTAGACATCTATGCAGGCCCATTCTCTGCAGTGCATTGTTAGGTCACAGTACTTCAAATGCAGGGGCTGCTGACCATTACCATGTGTCTTTGGATCCCATGACAGCACTTCAGTGAGCAGTAACCAGGACGGAGGGTGAATGGAGGCATTGCTGGACTAACAGGGATCTTAGGTTTCCACTGCATCCAGTTACTAACCACGACTTGCAATTTCCAAGTCCTCACTGGATTTATTTAAGGTACCCAGAGTCCTTTCTCTATGACCTTCATATTTTCCAACCAGGATATTGAACTAGTACAAGCCTCTGTTGTGAATTAGGGTCAGAGCCTACATGTAATCCTGAGATTGATCTTAATAATAATTTTTAACCTTAGATAATCTTTAATACAAAATTAAGATTCTACTGGCTGTGTGACATTAAGTGGTGAGGTTTTTTGTTTTTTGTAACATAGCTTCATTTCTTGGTTTTGTTTTTTTCTTAAGATAAACTTTCTTTCATAAGCAAATGGCACATGACACCATACTGTCAGCAATTTATTTACTCTTTCTCATATTCCAAAAACATGTAGAAGTTGTTGGTGTTCGTTTCACTTTTATGAACTGTATTTAGTTCTGTTCTTTGTATAGTTTTGACTTCTTGATTCCTAACTGAACCTCAGCCTTGCATAGTCATATAGTGATTTTTAGTTTGTTTAAAGCTGACTTAAGTTGAAATTTGTGTAAAGTGAACAGCCAAAGTAGTTTGACTATTAATCTTCCAAAATAATTTCAATTAACAACTTTAGTATTATCTTCAGAATTTTCATCTTCAGAAACTAAATTTGCAAATCATATCGGTAACTGATTACTTATTGCTGTAGTTAGCAATAAATTTAGTTTCTGATACTATATGTAGTGATTAAAAAAAATCCAGTTGATTAATTTCATGATTCAAGAATAGATATCCGTTAAAGCCATAGCTATGTTTTTTTTAAATCTGACCGTTGGATAGATTGGTGTCACCTCTTTATTTGTGTATATGTCAGTAAAGATTATTCTGGTTAATTCTGAGTCACAAAACTGCTGTTCTTAAGATTTTAATTGTTGTTATCCACAATTACTAAGAGTTCTTAGTATTTGAATTTTATAAATTTTAAATAAATTAAAATTGTTGGTTTTTACAAATACATATTGAAGTTCACGTCTTTAAAACATTAAATAAGAAAAAGTATTTCTTTAAGTTTTCTCATATATGGGTTTAACTATTTTTTCTATCAAAAGGCATAAAAATTAATATATATTATTTAAAGGTATTTACTAAATGAATTTAAATCTAATCAGCTTATATAAGTAAATAGTAATCTGATTTTTTTTTTTTTTTTTTTTTTTTTTGGAGACAGAGTTTTGCTCTTGTTACCCAAGCTGGAGTGCAATGGTGCGATCTCGGCTCACTGCAGCCTCCGCCTCCTGGGTTCAGGCAATTCTCCTGCCTCAGCCTCCTGAGTAGTTGGGATTACAGGCACTTACCACCATGCCCAGCTAATGTTTTGTATGTTTAGTAGAGACGGGGTTTCACCATGTTGACCAGGATGGTCTCGAACTCTTGACCTCGTCCACCCACCTTGGCCTCCCAAAGTGCTGGGATTACAGGTGTGAGCCACCGCACCCGGCTGATTTTTAATTCAAATGCTCTTTTATTAATTACAGTAATTGAAGTTATAATGGGAAGGGGAAAACTTTATATAGTTTGTGACATGAGTATGTCTAGGACCATTATAAAAATAATAGCAGAGTTGTTTGCTTCCATATGTGATGTGTATAACCTAGAGTAGAGTAACCTCCCCTCCCTCAGTGATGCGCCAGAGCACAGGTTCAGAGTGCGTGGTTCTGTCAGTGAGCAAGACTTA